GGCGAGGGCGGCCGCGCCGAGCGGGACGGCCAGCAGGAGGAGGAGCGGCCAGGCGCCGGCAGCGGGAATCTCAGGCATCGCCAGGTCGGTGTGGCGCACGGGCTCACTGCTCGCTGGGAGGTGGCGGTGGCGGTGGTCGGTGCTCGCTGAGTGGTGGATGCTCGCTGGGCGCTGCATGCGCCTTATGAAGGGCCGGGGCCAGGTCACCTGAACCCGTTGGTTAATGATTGGCAGAGCTGCGCGCCGCCGGCCGTGTCCAAAATAAGTTTGTTTTGCTCGTGCGCTCAAGGCCCTGCGCAAACCGTGGGTGGGACGGAGGGTCAACGCGGCGCGGACTGTTTGTTCCGTCGTGATGTACCCCACCGAGCGCGCGGCGGGTGGGGCCAGCGCGGACTTGTTTTGTTTAATGGGGACCCGGCCAGCCCAGCAGCCCGCGCTCCTGGGCTGACCCAGGGGAAGCGCACCCCCCCCACCCCAACATCCCCCCTCGTTTCCACAGGGAAGCCAGGGCCCAGGGAGAGCGCAGCAGGGCAGGCTCAGAAGCAAGGCCTCTGCCCGCCAGCGCAGGCACTCAGGAGAAGCCCAGACCTGCTTCTCCTCCCGCAGGAAGCAGCCCCCGCCCTCAGCTTCAGTCTCCACAGCCTTTCCCAGGGAGGGAGGGAACAGACGTCCACCCCAGGGCAGAGCCCAAGGTCCCCACGCTCCCCAGTTTCACCCAGTCTCACTGCAGCCTGGAGGCTGACTGTCCACTGCACTTCCAGGACACAGAGGCCCGGCCACCAGGCCCAGCAGGAGCCCAGGCCACGGCTGCGCCCACACCCCAGGCTGACTCTGACTGTCTGGCCCAGTCCACATTTTTGTCAGGGATCGAATACCGAGGCTTCCTCTTTAGTTAATATTTCTATTTTTTGGATATTCTCTTCCTTTGCAAGAAAAATGTCCGTGTGCCTCCAAAGACAGTGAGAAGTGGCCCTGCTGTCCCCAGGGGCCGAAGGCACGCTCCCCGAAACCCAGTCCCTGGAAGGTCGGCAGCGACTGATGGACCAGGCAGCTCTACACTGACCGGTGGGCGACGTCCCCCAGGCTGCGCAGGTCTGCGGTGGACTTGCCCGTGAGGGACGGAACACGTGCTCTCTGCGTTCAGGAAATGTGACCAGACCTGTCACCGGGACTCTACTGTATGGAAACTCTCAAGGACACATGAGAAACGGGGCTGATGTCTGCTGTGGGCGGAACTGGGAGCCTCGGGGCACTGGTTCCCCTGTGGTTCTCGTCCTTCTGGACTCTCGTAAACACTGCATTTACTAGGAGCAGGCACGTGGACGCTCTCTCGCAGGGACCACCCAGCTGAACCCGGGGACGAAGGCCCCCTCTGGCCACGGCACCTGGGGCCTCGGGCCGGCCTCTGCTCTGCCTCGCCGGCACCCACAGGCCACACAGCTGCTCCAGCTCCCCAGCAACAATCAAAATAAGGTCATGAAAATGACTGCACTCGGAAGTTCACGGTCATGTTTGTCATTGTTTTTTCAGAGCAAAGGTCGGTGTCCGGTTGAGGGACAGACTGGACCAGTGCCTTTGACTCAGCTGGCACTGTTTTCGATGTATCCTCCTAAATGATTTAATTTCCAGAAGAGTTTGTGCTCTGCCTTTCCCCCTGGCTCTGCACCGTGGAATCACCGTGCCCACAGACACGTTTTCTCAACAGCACACGAGAGGGTCGTGGGGGGCTTGGGGCCCACCTGCCAGCACCCGGCTGTTTGTCAGCCCAGAGTGTCCCCCAGCTGTGCCTCGCCAGCGCCCCCCCCCCGCCCTCTCCGCACGTAGTGGAAGTCTGTCCCAACAGATCGATTCCCATGTTTCCATCACTCACCTCAGAGCAGGAGCAAAGTAAACAGCCACCAGGCCCGGGAGTGTTCGTCCTGTGACGCAGGGCGCAGACGGAGCAGGCCCTGCCCGGGCGCTGTGCGGGCCACCTGTCTGTCCTGCGGGGTGGGCAGCCCTCGCTCCGCAGGCCCAGTCACCATGAGGTGGCTCTGATTGTGGTCATTTCCGGGTGCATCCCGAACCCAGGCCCGGCGGCCGGCTGCAGGGCGCCCACTGCGTAACCTGGCTTCATGCCCAGCCCACTGATCTGACTCCCCATGGCCGACTAGGGGGAGGGGCGCTTCCTGTGGGCGCGGGTGTGCAGGGAGCCCCTCTCCGCTGTGGTGCCCTGGGCCGCCCCTCCCCCGCCCCAGAGAAAGAAAAGGTCGCACCTCCACGACTTGCTGCGGCTCCCCACGCTTGAATTTCCACACCCCATGATCCATGTCACCCTCTGAGCCACGTGTCTCTACCTCTGGTCTGTCTCACACGCGTCTCCGACCACCGCGTCCCCGACCACCACGTCCCTGTCATCTGCCTCCCTCGCCTCCATCATCTCCTGGGCCATCTCGTTAGCTCAGCCCGTCCCCTCCCCCACGTGAGAGCTTCGGCCTTGCTCTCCTCCCTTCCCGAGAGCAGGACAGGGGAGCCAGGGAGCAGCCCCCGCAGTGGGGTGCAGGCACGGAGCTCCGTGGGGGCCACCACGAGGCCTGAACTGGTCCTGGCAGGTGCTGTAGTGGTCACGCCCTGACCAGGGCTGATTACAAGCTGGCCCTTGTGACAAGTGCTTCGGTGAGAGCCCAGCATGTGCTGGGGACAACAGGTTGAGTGCTTGTCAGAGAAGAGGCCACCACCATGGTGTTTCAGAGAAGTGGGGACCCCCCCAGCAGCAGGCCGGGGCGCAGTGTGGAAGGACAGCCAGGCGGGCAGCGATGGCACAGCGGGTGGGGGCACTGAACAGCGCCCAGAGGCCGAGGTCTCAGAGGTGGGGGAGCACCACACAGCCAGGCCCCCGGGGGTGAGGGTCCAGGAGCCGGACACCAGGTCACAGGCCCAGAGAGCAGGGGCAGCAGGCACAGGGGCCACTACGCGGACCTGGTGACAGGCCCCGCTGGCCAGAGCTGCTGGGGACACCCCAGGGGGCTACCCGCAGCGGCTCTGCCCAAATCCCGCATCTGAGGCGGAAGAGGGGGCCACCGCGTCTGTGACTTCACGGGCAGTCGGTGGGCCTGGGGGCCGGGCTGAGAGGCAGGGGAGCGGTCCACGTGGGAAGTTTTCAGTGCCACATGTGGACTCGCTCTATTATGTCGCCTGGGCAGGAAGGAGCATTAGACTTGGGGGGTTCAGGGACAGAGAAGGGAAGCCACTGTCCCCATCTCAGAGAGGTAGAGCAGGCGCCCTGTCCACCCCAGGGGGCGCAGCACGGCTGGGGCCACACGCAGCGTCTTCGCCAACCATTTCACGGCGCTTCCCAACGCATGCGCCCTGGGCGGCGGGGCCGTGGGTACAGGTGTCGCCAGCTGCGCCCGAGGACCTGACCACGTGCCCTGAGGGTCTGGACTGCAGCTAGCTGCCCACCTGTGGCGTCTTTCAGACAACCTCAGGGTCTCGGGCTTTGGACAATGGAAGAAATGAAGCTGTGAGGCCAGCCTTTGGGGAACGCACAATCCGGGAGCATGGTGCTGGCTGCTCCTGTGCCCCTGTCAGCCCGGGACGTGGCCGTCCCCGCCGCGCTGCGCAGGGACCGGGGCTCGGTGGGTGATGAAACCGGCCCGGCTCTTCCGTCACCCACCGCTGCCAGTCCTGCCTTCGTGCCGGAAAATTGGGCAATCGGCACCCAGACAAACAATGCCGGGGTCAAGGGCAAAGCCGAGCTTCAAAGGGAGAGGACGCTGGGCCCCGGGGCCCCTCCAAGGGGGCTGTTTTGAACCTGGGGGAAAAGAACAAAATCGCGCCCTGCTGGGCTCCCGCCAGCAGCGG